ATCAGTGATAAATGATCAAATGCTTATATCAGTGTTAAGGGTAAATAAAAACTGCCCAATTTTTCGCGATAGTTTTCGATAATGAGAACTTCGTACCAGAACCTGCTATTCGCGATTTACGCTGTGATAAATGTTCACAAAAGCCTTACCATAGAAAATAACAAGGTATCACCATATGACTACCGTGTCACCATGAATTACGGACATGCCATACACCAAAAGATTTGTCTCATCAATCTGAAGCCAATTCTTCTTGTAGATTTCATATAAAGTTGTTCTGGAAGAAGTTACAGCTGAATCCCGCTTGTCCCCAAATCCTGCGAATCCTGTGAAGTCGCGAATCCCGCGAATCCCGACAATCCCGCAATTTTGGACAAATTCTACCGCTGCAACTGTAGTGGAATAAGCGTGAACGAAAACCCTGATACGCGATTTTTCAGATTTTTGAGAAAAAATTTTGTCAGATGGCATATTCCACATTGAATCCGCATGCTAGAAGTTCATACCATGATTCCACAGTAATGAAGAGCGATCGATGATTCGCTCCATACTACAAATCTAAGTTGAACCCCGCTCTACAGAATGGTGCCTCAAACTCGGCGAAAGACAAGAAAGCAACGGAGTTATCAACGATTCAGTGTTAACATTTTTTTTGGGACACCCTGTTTAATATTGGCCGAGCTGTAAAAAAGTACAAGAAAACATATACGCGAATTATTGGTTGCCTTCAGAATATCATAAATTTATCCAGCAGATCTGTTATGTCATTAGGACGATATTTTCATTTCATTTCATTTCCATTCGACCCGTGCAGGATGTTCCAGGACATGATAAAAAAGTATTAACTATACATAGCACACAACATTAACGAAGTTCACAACGTCATCCCAAGCCCAGAATAGATACTTTATGTGGAAGAACATAGTGTAGAAACAGCTTGCGTAAACACGTACAGAATTGCATGAGTGCTTGCGTTGGCATAGACTCTGCCCATGTTGAATTCTTCTGAACACAAAATGTGGAGGCAAAATATATGTCGCGGAGGGGTCCCCAGCTCCAGACTCAGTGGTTACGAGCTCTTCTGCATCGGCGAGGGAAGCTGAGGAATCCGTCCGTGAGATAGAACAACGACACATGAGGAAAGGGTGGCTAGCTTGCGCCACGCTGTTATGGTCTGTCACTAGCACAACGCACAACGAGTCAGAGGCCCTAAGCTACCAACCAACCCCCTAAGGTCTGCTGCCAGCCATCTCGAGCCGTTCACACATGAACAATTGTGGATCACTTGCAACTTAGGCACTAGCGCGAATCGTGCCTGGCCTTCCGACTGATGGAACCTTCCGAGACAAGTACACAAGGAACACAAACAGCATACAGATTTAACTGTGTCGTCTGAGCCTATGGCTATCACAAGAGTCAAAACACTACAGTTCAAGTGCCCATCATTTATCCCTATTTGAACCAAACACACAAACAACTCAGTACAATGGGCAGGGTACATACAGACCGGCCAGTGATCTCACCTAGGGTCGGTAAAAAGAAACACCCCGCGGAGTGACTCCTCTGCCCTGCGGCAAGCAAGGAGCGCACAACCGGGTTGGTCAGCAATGTTCAACACCTGCACGCTAGGAGGACTGTCAGCTGCACCTCGGTGCAGCTGACAGTCCTCCTAGCGTGCAGGTGTTGAACATTGCTGGATCGAAAAGGTGCGCTGCTTGATCGATCAATAGACAGTTGAGGAAGTCGACCGCTTGCTGCTAGACGAATGAGGCGAATGCGTGACATGTGCGAAGTTATATGGGAACGAGAGGCGGGGCAGCGCGAGGACTGGCGCTTTAGGACCCAGCGCTTTGCGGTGGCAAACTCCCTATAAGGAAGGCGTGCGCGACACCCTGGGCGGCAGAAAAAGGTTCTTAGGTATGCTCCAGTTCACCACCTTACCTATGACTACAGGTTAAACGTACATACATAACCACGAGTAAAAGTAACCCTAGTACGCGCGCTGGCCTACCTCGTATCGTAGTAACAGCCGATTGTCTTACGGGGATAGCATGGAGAGTCGTCGGGGGCTCTACGTTAGGACTTCTGGTGGGTCTTTCGGCTGTTGAGGAGGCGACACTTATGTTGACGACGATTGGGATCGGCGACGTTGACGGAAGTCGTGGTATCGGCATCTGATTCGACCATGACTTGACGTGGATCTTCTTGACGACATGACGTACGGCTCGACATAGACTGAACGGCAAGTGCTGAAGATTCAAAAGTTCTAAGCAGTGGTATCAACGCAGAGTACTTGTTTTGTTGCGACCGACACGCTGAGGAGGTGTCTTTTCCGCGGAAGGAGATGCAGAGGATGTAGATCGAAGCAGCACGAGACATCCTTATGCTTCAACAACTGCCATGGGATCAACGACATCGATCCGGAGGACTACCATCTGCACTTAGAGCAATATAAGCCTTGGCAGACCTACGTCGAAGAGGGACAGGGGGCTTAGACAGCCCCGCAGGTAAGTTTGTTTTTTGTTGTATGTTTTTGTCCTACGTTACTTTCTTTCCACAACCTACAATTTTTTTGGTGAGCCTTAAGCTCACGCTTCATTTTTTTTTTCGTCAACTTTATTTTAGGTTGACTGGTGAGGCACTCATGGGGAGTGCCTCACCAGTCAACCTAAAATAAAGTTGACGAAAAAAATGAAGCGTGAGCTTAAGGCTCACCAAAAAAATTGTAGGTTGTGGAAAGAAAGTAACGTAGGACAAAAACATACAATAAAAAACAAACTTACCTGCCGGGCTGTCTAAGCCCCCTGTCCCCTCTTCGACGTAAGTCTGTCAAGGCCTTATATTTCTCTAAGTGCAGATGTTAGTCTGAACCGATGTCAGGATGTCAGCTAACTTAGTATCGCGTTTCGAGAGAAGGACATATATTTCGAATCAGCTTTAAACGCTGATTCCAGATATGATGTTCCTAGCTACGGCGCATTATTCTGAAGGGAGTTATGAGCCCTTTTTATGTTAGATTGCCATATTTTCCATACGGTAAGATTGTCTGTAGATAGAAATCTGCCTAAAGACGATGCTAGGATGCTAAAATTATTGGATTGAGTCTTCTTAATTGACAAGAAACTTTACGCAGTCAATTAGCAAATAAGGTAATAATACAGTAATGCCAGTACGTCAAAGAGTCTGCAAATCGATATTCTTCCGTGCAAATTTTGCACGGAAGAATATCGATAACCGCTTTATAATGACGTGCGACAGCTAGGAACAGCATATTTTATATCAGAGTCTGAAGCTGAATCCAAATATATGTGTCATCTCAAACGCGATTCTAAGTTACCTGACATTCTTTGTAAGTAAATAATTATAACCCGAATAACACATGCCATTAACTGCAGAATCTTTTATGTTTAGAAGCTATTTTTATTTCATAATCATCTGCTTTATTTTGGAGCTGGTGTGCCTTCTCGGCAACTGTCATACTGTCTCGGCAACTGACTTTTCCAACACCTTGAATTGGCTGGATTTGTGCAACATGGGTAAGCTGCTCTCTATGACATGGAATACCGTTCATAATCTGTATTTATGGAGCTAAACGTCTATGTATGTATATATGTATCTGTACGTATATTCCGTATTAGTTCTGAACCGAGCCGAAACAAGCTTTGCACACAGATACACTTACAGATATACATACATACACTGATACTCGTTTTTTTTGCAGTTTGAGGGTTGAGTCAGAGTGCGTGGCGTATGGGCGTACGTGACCTGCGCAGCGTACGCGCATACATATTTCATCATAGGAGCGTACGCGGCGTACGATGCATACATCGCGTTCGGCTCGCAGTCTGGCCCAACCCTGAGCTACAGAGCTGGGAGTTGATCAAGGGGGGGGGGGACGGACGGTATATGAGCAAGCTGATTGCGAATATATTATCGAAAGCATGGTGGAGTTGGATTTGCCAGCTAATTCGTGAACATAACTGTCACGTTCGACGGGCTCAGCCTCCATAACGCTAAGTCAATAATCTTTGGTTTTTGCGAAACTTCGTTCCGGACGCTAAATTTTGTTCGGTGCGAGCAAATTTTGCATCCAGAGATATCAGTCTGGGTACCAGTGGCGTGGATTTATTTTTAACAGTCACTGAATAAAACAATGCACATATACACATCACGGAGGGGCGGCATGGGCCTTATAGTTTTCGTTATTCTTCGACATCGACTTAAAATTTCTGTAAGCCCAGAGGATTTGGTTTATTATGGTATTTTTTACAAAATGGTTGCGGTTTGATTTTGAGCTACTACTTTTCAGAAAATACTGAAACAAAAAAATCCCAAACTTTATTCAAGTCAGAGCCACCTTCTGCGCAAAGCATTAGGTCGTTCCAAAAATACTCTCACTTTTTTCAAATGAATGCCACATTTCGTGAAACAAGGATTGAGATCTCGGTAGCATCCGATACAGCATTTTGTCCTCTTTCTAGTGGCTATGAACTCAATGTGAGCTCGAAAATTACCAAAAGTTCCTGCTATTACCGATAGAGGAGATAATTGCTCCATCAGTGCGATACTACATCTCTGCTCTGTACAAAAGTGTTAAGAATTTGTTCTCACATCAAAAAATTATATGTTTCTAGTTCCAGGTCGTCGATTTTTTGTTTGAAAACCTGCACCTTTAGTTCAGTCATTCTAGACTTGCTATCGCTACATTGACTCAACAGGACAAACTATCAAGGCATTTTGCCCTCTCTCTCAACCAAACGTTTGATGCACTTGTACAGAGTACGCAATTTTGGCAAACTAGGTTAGCTGTAGCTGTTGAAACTACCACCTAGTAAATAGAGTGGCTGCCATTTTTGGAAGAAAAGACTCGTGAAGTTCTATAGGTTACGAAAAATCTTCAAGGCATTTTTGGAAAAGCGTTTTATGAAGTTTTTTGCGCAGTATCATTTTGTCAAACACCCTACAAGATAGTAGAAGAAGTCCTGAAATAAACTGAAGTTTCTGTTATGTAAATGTGAGAGCCTGTCTTTCACATCAAGCGAGAATATCGGCATGAAAAATGCCCAAGTGCGTCCACTTTAAGCCTAAGAAAACATCTTTTGGATTGATTGACAGTATTTACACTCAAATGAATGAGCATGAGTTTCGCTGTAGTATTCGATTTTTTCAGGATTATTACGGCGCAGCATTGGACACATGTAACGAACGAGGCAGCTTGAAATGCGATGTGCCAAGAGCATTGTGGAAACGGAAGTTGCTCGACTCACTTGAAAGTGCCGAATTACATTTGCTTCCAAAAAAAAACAAAAACTTATGACATTTCTTTGGCCTATATTAGGTCGCTCCAAAATTTTGCCCTATACAAATGAACGCCACATTTGGAGAAACAAGGATTTATGAAAGATCTTGGTAGCATTCAATGCAGCATTTCATCTCTTTTTAGTGGTTTTGAAATCATTGCGGCATTTTCAACGAACTCTCGGCAAATTACCAAAATGCCACATGTTATTTGAGATAATCAATTTTTAGAAATCTCTCAACTTTTGTATCAACTCTCCGGAGCAATTGGATAGAGTCCATGCAGAAAAAGTACAAGTTTTTTTTCCTGTCTATAGCTTGCCATAATCTTTCAGTAGCATATTATCAAATGCTACCAATTTCCATATCTGATCAACTTAAAACTCGTAGAACGTCAACCGGCAAGTGTCTTGGGTGCTATTCCATGAAACTTTTCCTCCTCTTTCTGATGGATGTTTCTGTTTTTGATTTGAATAGTTTCGGAGGAAAAAATCAGCTCAACTTATCCTTTTAACGCGTCTGAGGTGTACCAGAAAATTTCGAAAGTTAATATTTCAACTCCGAAAACAATGCTCGTTGGCCCTGCAAAAATAGTTGAATGATAATCCTTTTTTGAAGGTCCCAAATTCCAAGACTTCTTCGTGTTTGTTGCATTTGTGTCTGTCGTGAGAATGCCAAACAGAATCGTACCAGATCGACTAGTATCGCATGGAGTATGCTTGAACACATCTCAGACGATTTAAGTCGCGACGCGATCTGGTAATTTACCAGATGTCTTCAAATGTCGCACTGGCAGACCGCATATGTATAGTGCGTATAGCTTTTGTAGAGTGATAAATTGTCTTATCATCTACACATTAGTGGTTTGTGCTCGATGAGTTGTGGACAACTGGAGTATTGCCAAACAAATCGCATCACCGCTGGAATCTCGTGAGATATACCAAGGTCTCAAGCCTAAGGCGTTGCGCAAACTGCAGCGTTTGAGAACAGTTGTTACTCAAAATGCGTCAAGATTCCGTTTTTCTTCCAGTCCTATACTCTTGTAATAAAGTCTAGAAACTCTTGTTAAATCAGTTTCTATAGAAATCGAATGCGAAATTAGCAGTCATATGAATTTTGAATGATAAGGTGCGTTACTGTATAATAGTTTGTCGCCAGGCGTTGCTGCAAGAACTTTACAAAAATCTTGCTCCGATACAGAAGGCAATAGTCTTCGATCAAAATTCCTCCAATACGTGGAAAGTGCGGTCAGCGGGTTATAAACATAGCAGCACTTATAGTAGCTTTAGCAGGGCAAGTGAATGACCTAAATTATTGTGGAGTCAGGTGGCCGGTGACAGCTGTTTCGCTAAATTGATTAAGCAGTGTCCAAGTTGAATAGAATAAATGTAGAGAAATTGGGTCACTAGCAACAATGTGTCATATGCAACATCCGTGTTTCACTCTTAGCGTAAGTCGCCGTGATCTATGTGGATAGCTACACCATTTTTGAGATTCCAGGTGATTTTGTGTATTGGAGCTGCATACGGCCATTGGGAAGATTATACACCCAAACCTGTTGTTAGAGAAAGCTTGAAAGAGTTCCTAAGAGGAACAAAAGCTTGGGTAAATTTGATGTTTATGCTTTTTACGATTCCCTTCCAGTTTCCTCTGCCAATATACAGGGCCCAAAAAAGTATGCCCTGTTCGATTTTGACCGTTGATAACTCTTCACAAAGTTTTCTGCTGACCTTTGTTTATCATTATGTAAAGGTAGCTTTTACTCAGATGCATATGAAGCAGTTTACCAATCGCTCTTCATTACTACAAGATTACATGAAAATTCCAGCACAGAGTGGCATAATGATAAACGGTTCCCGAAAAAATTCAGGAAAAAGGTATTATGGTATATTTGCATGATTCTCAGACAAAGCAGTGCGGTAAAGTACAAGTTTTACATTGAGGATGGGAGACCGTAACTGGCTTGGTGCAAGTGTTTTCAGCTTACTTGGGTTTCATCTGAGTCTAAATATAACCGTGAAGTCCCACGTGATCCAACAGTAATGAATAGCTTTCGGTAAATAACACCATTCTGTAGATCTAAATTGAACGAGTTCTACAGAGAATCCATTGTATTTCGAGCGACACTGTGAGAAGAGATGTATTAATGTACAAACAGAATACATCCTTCTGGGACATTCTGAAGTACTGATCTTCTAGTACAGTCGCAAACTAGAGGTCAAAGTTGCCGATGACATCTCTTCGTACGCTCTGCGCTACAACCTTAAAAAACCAGGAGACGTAACGGAACTATTAAGATTTGTAAATGACTTCGAAATGGCATTTTACTATAAAGCGATATACTTCAAGTGAGTTCAGTTTATTTACCCATTGAAGCATAGCAACCACAGATAATCTTGAGGTCCAAGCGTCAACTGTTCAAGCAGATTATTCATGCTGAAGGAAAAGTCGGCTGTGCTCACCTTCCGCATTATCCCCGCGGATACATATGCCTCATCGAAGTGCCTTGGGGAAATTTTTGAAGCTTTCTCATTGCTGTTGAAATAAAGTACTCATTGCAACACCTACTTCTTGCCACCACAAACTTATGAGCCTTCAGCTTCTACCATTGATGTGCACACTTGCAAACAGCGTATGATTGGTTGAGAAGGAAAAGGTAAAATACAAAGCTTTCTAACATTTGAGGGTAGGACTTGAGCATTACCGCCATCGCCTCCGAAACGTTAAGCAATTGCAATTTTAGATCACTTCGCTCTATAAGGGAGGGTCGAGTCAAAAGGTCGATTACCACAGGATTCGTAACGTTATAAAGAGCTTGAGGCGCTGATTTCAAATCTACCTTCTATATTTGGAACGCTTTTGAGATATGGGCGCCATTGACACAATTTGTATAGTTTTGAATGAGTCATCACGGAAATCGTTCAAATTCTTGTTGCGATTAGGGATAACTTCAAAAAGGGTCAGCACTACATTGAGCATGGATCCTGTTTCAGAGTGGTTTGAAACGAAAGTGCCTAGGTGTTAATAGTTCTGACTATTCTCATCAGCGTAAATTTCCCGCAAAAGAAACCCCATAACTTTCTCTTTAAAAACGTTCTACAGATTTGTAAAGCAGATTTAAAATCAGCGCTTCAAGCCCTTCATGATGATATGCATCTTGTAATATCTGCTGCATGACGAAGGCGGTCCTCCAAATAGGTTGAAGGCTGTTGCGCACGCGGCGCGTGGGCAATTGTCAGCCACGGGGTGCGGGCACGCTTTAGTGGATGACCGCTGACAATGGTTGATAATTGCCCGCGAGCCGCGTGCGCAACAGCTTTCAAACTATTTAAGCGACCGCCTTCGTACGCAGCAGATATTAGCGATCGCTCTCTTCGGTTTCGCGACCCTGCCTTATTAGAGCACAACAAAGAAAATGAATAACAAAAATAACAAGGAAACGATACTCGGTGTCCGTGGCCTTTTGAGATGAGTTGTATACGTTACACTCGTCTTAGAGAGCTGATTACGAATCTGACTTCTGTTTCTGCTAATCGCTTCAAAGATGTTACAGGGGATTGTGCAGGCTTTGGCTGCCCACTGAAATACGTTCGGAGCGCGATTACCGATGCTGTGTGGTCTGGTGGTTAGTGCGATAGGCTCATGAGTTGATGTAGGTGTAGGTTCGAATCCTTTCGTGTTTTTCAGTTTTTCATTGCCTTAATAAACATTCCTTCGCATCTTCGAGCTTACTGAACGCCCTTACTCTTCAAAAAATGTGGAAATTTGGAAAAAATGATTACTATCTGCGCTAAAATGTATCCAATGATCATAATTCGAGTAAATCTCAAAAAAGTTTAATTGAGGCAGTGCAAAATTGAAACAAAAAGATTTGAACCTACACCTCATCAAGTTACCAGGCTATCAGACCAACCACTAGACAATAACGTGGCGCCGGTAGAAGCCGTTCCGGCCGCCCATACCCTTGGGCAGCCAAAGTTGGCTCGAACTCTTGCATAACTTCTTTCAGAAAAACGATTAGCAGAAACGGAAGTCGGATTTTGAATCAGCGTTCGAAGACGAGTGTATTGGTATACATCTCGTCTCAAAAGGCCACTGACATTGAGTATCGTTCCCTTGTAAGATGGAATCGTAACTACAAATTACTAACATCGTCTCAATGCAGTTGTGGTCGCGCACGAAATCACCAGGTGTCTATACCTAGGCCGAAGTTTTGCCTTATTCGGAGCGGGCGCCTGACCCCCCCCCCCCTTCCCCCCAACTCGGAAGTTGCCATTGTTGCCTGTCGTTCGCTTTGGCTGCGTCCACGAGTTCCAGGGCTAAAATTGTATTTAGTTGATTTCTCATCTGGTCCATCCGTTCCACGAACCGTCTGCCCATTCCATTAGTGGTCTTCCTCAAGACGTTTGGCTTCGCAAGGAATCCACTAAGAGGTTCTCAGTGTCCACCTGTCGTCTGTCATTCTCATGATGTGACCGGCCCATCCATGCTTCTTTCTTGCAAGGTATTCCGCTAGGTCACAAAAAACGGGACATTCTGCTCGCATCCGTACTGCGAAGTCCAACATAATGTTGTTTGTCGAGTCATCTTTAGAAGACTGTGCTCTATCGCTCCGTGGGTGGTCCGCAAAGCTTTTGACGCGGCTACAGTGCCGGCCCAAGTCTCAGTTGCGTAACCGAGCGCCGGAAGACGATGTCCTCCGCAAAACGAAGGTTTGACATACAAATTCTACCAACTCGTATGCCTCTCTCCTCTTAGTTCATTGACTTCACCACCCCTGCAAGGCCGCGGTGAACAGCTACGCCGAAATTGTTTGTCTTATAGAACTCATTTCTTAAATGGGATCGTTAAGGCTATGGTTTTACTGCATCGTTCTTGTACAGTCCTCATAGCAGTCGGCTAACGTCCTCACGTAAGCTGGGTCTACTCCTTGATCGACTAGCGTTGACAGTGGCATTGATTTCGACGCTAAAGAATTTCCCGCAATCGATGAAGATTAGGACGAGAGGTAGTCAGTATTTCCGGCAGACTTTTATGACCCCGAAAACGTCTGGATGCGGTTCAGGCAGCCGAACCCTTTGCGAGATTCGGCATGTTCTTGGTGGTTTCATCCAATGTCCTAGATATGTAAGAGATGACAATATTCCTGGAGATTGTACAACACATTCAGCAGACATATTGGACGGTATTCCCAAAGATCCTCCCCCTTCGCTCTTTTTAGAGAAGAACGGTTCTTGAGGTTTTTCACTGATCAGGAATCTTCTTCTTTCAGATGAGATGGTAGATGCGTCGCACGTAAATGTTGTCTTCCGGCTCGCAGAATTTCGACAGAAAAATAGTTTAGTAGAGCCGTGGACGCTTCATGGTCTAAATCGTGGTGGGACTTCAGGTAGAATCCGCAGTGGTACTTTTCTAGTAAGAAAAACGGGCATTACCACGGGTGTTGGAGCGGAAGAGGTTGGCGTAGAAGTTCTTCGCAATAGATTCCATCTTGCATCGGGAAGAAGTCGGAGTCCCGTCTTTGTTCAATAGTGCAGTAAGCGGTGCTCGATATTCGCAGGGGTCCCTTCGGCACTTCTCAAGACTTCGTCATCCTTTGGCTGCTTCCAGTATCTTGACTTACCTGTGCTTCCTGAGATCCTTCTGCAAAGCTCTTCTGCAACTGGCATTGGCTATCAGTCACTCAGGATGGAGGATGGGCTGCATTTAGGTCGTTCCTCAGAATCTTCTTCTTTCAAGCAATCCCTTGATGGTATTTAAAATGCGTTTCAGGTTCTTTCTGGATGTCCCTGAGGCGCACTCACAACCAGACTCGCAATCCTTTCAGAAGCCGGTCGCAGTCGTTCTCCTCAATGGGCCAGTCACAACTTGTTATGCGCTCTTTCCAGCCTGGTATTGTCATAAACGACATTCTTCTCTCTTGCAATACTGTAGCACACCTTTTTTACGGCTTCCGACTAAATCGTGTCTTCGCTAAGGAAGCGGTGACCGGAGCCACTGCAGAAGGATGGAACTACTAACACATCGAGCAAGCTCTACTTCCGGTTGGTGAGAATGTGGTCGATCTCCGCCTGAGTTGTTCCGTTGACAGATTCCCATGTCCAGCAGCGATGTTCCTTTCATGAAGATGGAATTCTCGTCGAATAGCCTTGCGGTGGAAAAAACCCAACAAGACTGTTGTCATTTTTGTTTCGAAGCCCATATCCAAATTTTTCGATCTTATTTTTCCTTTGTAGTGGCCTCCCGATTCCCACGTTAAAGTAAAGACTTCTCGTCGCAAGCGATCTCCTCCACGTTTCCGTAAAGAGCATCTGGTTCTGATTCATCAGCTGCTGATGTTGGAGAATAGCATTTGATGATGCTAATAGTCTTCTGACGTCAAGAGCGTAGTCGTAGAATGACTGTCGAGGTGATAGGATCTTATGCGAATTGATAAGATGAAACAATAGATGGGCGGACGACAAAGCCAACGCCTCCAGCTCGTGATGGAACCTTTCACCACGAATGATGGGTGTCTCATCACTCATCTGTCGCATGTCCTTCTTCCTAGACATCGTTTCCTGCAAGGTGATGATGTGGTATTTGATGTGCTCGGCAGCGTCTAGAGGAGCGTGGAGGTCGGCGTTTGTGGAGACTGTCCTGACGTTGTAGGTACAAAGCATGACGCAGTCTCCATGGGGTGTCGTTCGGGCAATGTCGTTTATGTCCAACCCAAAAGGCGCCCTGAGGACCCTGACATCGTTCTTGCTACCATCCGGCGCCGTAGGCGGGATCCGATATGCAAGGTTTCTTTCTTTTCTTCTAACTGCGGGAGTAATGAAAATTTTTCCCCTACAAGAGCAGACATACTAGGCTTGCTCTTGATTTCCACTGGGCGATCGCTGATCCGGGCGTAGTGCAGGCCAGAAAACTAGACGACGGGGTATGCTCTATACTTGGGTAATTCGAGAATTTTTCATCGAATGAATGAATATCGAATAAATTCGAAAAGGAAAAATTTCGAATAAACGAATATCGAATAAATTCGAAAAGGAAAAATTTCGAATAAACGAATATCGAATAAATTCGGAAAATCAAAAATATCGAATGAATGAATTTCGAATAAATTCGGAAACTCAAAAATATCGAATGAATGAATTTCGAATAAATTCGGAAAATCAAAAATATCGAATGAATGAATATCGAATATATTCGAACATTGGAAATCGAATTTCGAATAAATATTCGAATGATTTATCGAATAACTAAAGCAATCACATCTCAAACTTGCCGACATATCTGGCTAGAGCCGATCCAATCATAAACAGCCCCCTAATATCTCCTATACCAACTCCTAGCTCAAATCGATAAAATAGATTTCGGTTCTAATCAGCATCCTCATTTACCCCCTGTACCAACTCCCAAGCTCGTAGCTCGAGACTTTCCAAAAATCTAGAAAATTTATAAAGTAAATTTTTATCCATAGTCAGCACCCTCACTTACCCCCTTGTACCAACTCTCAGCTCAAACTTCCCCAAAAATC